TTTTAGTTGAAAAGCACGCCAACGGACAACTGTTTGGCCTGAATATTGAGGATCTAAATCTAAGCAGAAAGGACCCAGTAGCGAGAGGCATCGCACCGGCGCGGCATTGCACAACCGCTAGAAGCTGTCAAGCCGGAGACAACCCTGGTTCGACTCCAGGCTGGGTCATTGGTTTATGGTCCAATGCTTTTTTGTTGAAAACGCACCGACGACAAGTGGTTTGCGTGTATATTGAGGATCTAAAGCTGAGCAGGAAGGACCCAGTAGCGAAATAAACCGCTCCGACGCAGCATGCAAAACGTTCATGGTGATCAAGCCAGTGATGATCCTGGTTCGACTCCAGGCTTGGTCATTAGAAGTACTGAGGAGCCTTTTTTCTTGAAAAGCACGGGACGATGAGATGAATTCAGTCCCTGTACAGTGAAGATAAAAGACCCAGTAGCGAAATAACTGGCACCCGCACAGCATGCTATCGCAAATCGTGTGATGGAGATAACCCTGGTTCGACTCCAGGCTGGGTCATTCGAAGTACTGAGGAGCCTTTTTTTTGAAAACGCACTAACGGGCAGGTAAGTGATACACCCAGTGGCAAAATGAATCGCATCGGCAGCGTATGATCACTTCTCTGCATGCTTTGGAGCCGAAGATGATCCTGGTTCGAAGCCAGGGTGGGTCATCATGTTGACATATTGGTCTTTTTCTTCAAGAGCACGGAAACGATGAGATGAAATTTGAGGCATACAAAATGAGGTTCAGGAGACCTAGTAGCGAGATGTATCGCACCGGCAGCCTATCAGCAATTCCCAGGGCGTTTTGGAGCCAAAGATCCTGGTTCGAATCCAGGCCTTGTACGTGAACGTGGCGTTTTTTTCTTGAAAACGGGCCAACGTACAAGTGATAGACATTTGTGTTAGCTGAGTAGGAAGGACCCGGTAGCGAGAGGAATCGCACCTGCGCAGCATGCCATCGCAAACGTGTGAATGAGGTGATCCTGGTTCGAATACAGGCTAGGTCATGAATCGGTTCTCACGCATTTTTTCTTATCTTGAAAAGCACGGAAACGATGAAATCAGTGTAGCGCACGAAAAGTGAGGGACATCAACTGTGCAGGAGCATGCAAGATGTTCAGCGTTATGTACTAAGCCAGAGATGATCCTGGTTCCATCCACTCCATGCTGGGTCATTGCATCTATCTGCACCTTTTTTCTTAATAAGACTGGGAACGATGAGATGCATTCAGTGGCGTGTACAGTGAAGATAAAAGACCCAGTGGTGAGAGGAATCGCACCGGCGCAGCATGCAGCTTTCTCAGTGTCTAAACTGGAGATGACAATCCTGGTTCGAATCCAGGCTGGGTCATATTTGTGTTCTCGCGGTTTTTTTCTTCAAAATGCGCCAACGAAAAAGTGTTTTGCGTGTATATTGAGGATCCAAGAATGTCTAGGAATACCCAGTAGCGAGAGCATTCGGACCTGCGCAGCATTAAAAACATCCGCTAGGAGCTGTAAAGCTGGAGAAGATCCTGGTTCGACTCCAGGCTGGGTCATACTCGTCGCAACTTGAGGTCTTTTCTGTTCAAAATGCGCCAACGAAAAAGTGCCTAGGAAGACTCAATAGCGAGAGCAATCGCACCAGCGTAGCATGCCGTCGAAAACGTGTGATGGAGGTGATCCGGGTTCTAATCCAGGTGGGGTCATACTTGTGTTCATCACGCTTTTTTTCTTGAAAACGCACTAACTTACAAGTGGTTTGCGTGTGTATATTGAGGATCTACACATGGGTAGGAGGGCCTGGTAGCGACTTGAATCGCACCGACGGAGCATGCTCGCGATCGCGAGAAGCTGTAAAGCCGGAGATCCTGGTTCGAATCCAGGCTGGGTCATAGATGGATTCTCCGCGCTTTTTTTTCTTGAAAATGCGCCGACGGACAACTGATTGGGGTGCATATTGAGGATTTTCACCTGAGCCAGAAGGACTCAGTAGCGAAAGCTATCTCACTGATCTGTATTCTGTATCACTAAGCTGGAGATCTTGGTTCGAGTCCAGGCTGGGTCCTGCGAAGTGTCGGCGGGATTTTTTTCTCGAAAAGCGCGGGAACGATGAGATGAGTTCAGTGGCGGGTGAAGTGAGGTACAAGAGACCCAGGAGCAAGCGGAATCGCACCGGTGCCGCATTCCTTCTACTGAAAGGAGCTCTCAAGCCGGAGACAACCCTGGTTCGACTCCAGGCTGGGTCATAGTTGGGTATTCACGTCTTTTTTCTTGAAAAGCACGGAACGAATGAATTCAGTGGCACGTAAAGTCGCGATTAAAAGACCCAGTAGGGAAGGCATCGCACCGACGCATCATGCATTTCATTAATTGTCACTAAGCCGGAGATGATCCTGGTTCGAATCCAGGCTGGATCATGGGTCGGCGTTCATTTCGTTTTTCTTGAAAATGCGCCAACGATAGTCAATATCATGAACTCGGGAAGATGTAGTAGCGAGAGAGGTATCGCGCCGGCAGTACGGTGGGAGGCATTTCAGCCTGATTCAGGTTTGAATCCAGCCTGGGTTATTTATATATTTCCAGCCGCACTTGAATTCGTGTTTGAGTGAGCAACGCGCCAAGTGGCCCACATATACGGGATGGAAAGGGGGGTAGGGAAGACCCAGTAGCTAAAGGCATCGCACCGGCGCAGTATGTCACCGGTTCATCAAGTACAGAGCCGGAAATTCTGGTTCGATTCCAGGCTGGGTCCTGCGAAGTGTCGGCGGGATTTTTTTCTCGAAAAGCCGGGAACGATGAGATGCATTCAGTGGCGTGTACAGTGAAGATAAAAGACCCAGTGGTGAGAGGAATCGCATCGGAGCAGAGTTGTCTTCAGTAGCGCTAAGCCGGAGATCCTGGTTCGAATCCAGATTCCAGGCTGGGTCATAGATGGATTCTCCGCGCTTTTTTTTCTTGAAAACGGGCCAATGGACAAGTCAATATCGTATAAATCGAGAAAGTTGGGAAGACCTAGTAGCGAGAGAGGTATCGCGCCGGCAGTACGGTGGGAGGCATTTCAGCCTGGTGAATTTGGTTTGAATCTAGGCTGGGTCATTCATATATTTCCAGCCACACTTGAACTCGTGATGCCAAGTGGCCCACACATACGAATGCAAAGGTGGGTAAGGACGACCTACTGTAGTAGCGAAATAAATGGCACCGACGCAGCATAAAAATCCTCCGAGCGGTCGTTAAGCCGGAGATGATTTTAGTTCGAATCCAGGCTGGATCCTGTGAAGCTTCGCTAGCGGGATTTTTTTGTTGCATGAGATGAATTCAGAGGCGCGTGAAGTGAGGGTTAAAAGACCCAGTAGCGAAATGTACCGCACCGGCGCACCGTGCCCATAGTCATCAGAAACTTGCCAGCTGGGGATCCTGGTTCGACTCCAGGCTGGGTCATAGATGGATTTTCCGCGCTTTTTTTCTTGAAAACGGGCCAACGGACGAGTGATTGACACATATATTGAGAGTCTACAAAGTCTGAGCAGGAAGGACCCAGTAGCGAGAGGAATCGCGCCGGCAGCATGTACGCAGTCATAGCCACAAGCTTTGAAGTCGGAGATGATCCTGGTTCGAGTCCAGGCTGGGTCATTGGTTTATGGTCCAATGCTTTTTTGTTCAGAATGCAGCAACGGAAAAGTGCTTGCCGTGTATATTGTGGATCTACACCTGAGCCAGAAGGACCCAGTAGCGAGAAGAATCGCGCCGGCAGCATGTACACGGTCATAGCCACAAGCTTTGAAGTCGGAGATGATCCTGGTTCGAATCCAGGCTGGGTCATTCTTCCAGTTTCCCCCTTTTTTCCCCTTGAAAATCCCGGAACAATGAGGTGAATTCAGTACCGCGTAAAGTGGAGGTCGAGAGACCCAGTGGCGAGAGGAATCGCACCGGCGCAGCATGCTCTGTATTCTGTATCGCTAAGCTGGAGATCCTGGTTCGAGTCCAGGCTGGGTCATTGGGTCATAGTTCATATCTTTTCTTGAATACGTGGCTGCGGACAAGTGTTTTACGTGTATATTGAGGATCCGCGCATGGGCAGGGATGACCCAGTAGCGAGATCAATAGCCCCAGCGCAGTATCTCCACGATGAATCCAGGTTGGGTCATAGTTGGGTTTCTAGCGGAATTTTTTTGTTGCAAGCGCGGGAACGATAACATAAGATGAGAGGCTCGTAAAGTGAGGTCAAGAGACCCAGTAGCGAAATTAAACACACCGGCGCAGCATTTCTTCTACTGAAGGGAACTGTCAGGGAGACAACCCTGGTTCGAGTCCAGGCTGGGTCACTCGGGTAGAAGCTGTGTCCTTTTTGTTGAAAGATTGCCAACAGACAAGTGGTTTGCGTGTATATTGAGGATCTACACCTGCTGATCAGGAAGGACACAGTAGCAAAATGAATTGCGCCTGCGCCGCATGCCGTCGAAAATACTCGGATGGAGGTGATCCTGGTTCGAATCCAGGCTAGGTCGTACAATCTTCCAGAAGCACATCTTTTTTTCCTTACCTACGGAACAACGAATACAGAGGCGTGTAAAGCGGGGGTCAAAAGACCCAGTAGCGACAGGAATCGCACCGGCACCGGATGTAGGTCACCTCTGGAAACTTTCAAGCCGAAGACCCTGGTTCGAATCCAGGCTGGGTCATAACGTGGTGAGCAGTTGTTGTTTTTTCTTCCGCCGCCGGGCGCACACACCGAACCTGCCTTTGGAAACGTGGAGGGTAAATTGAGGGTCTATCTATGTAAATTGAGCCTAGGAGGTCCGAGGGAGCAGAATTGGACTGCGGGAGGTTATGATCATAATGTGCAACCTCGTGGCGGAATGCATGCTGGTCTCTTACAAACAACAACACTATTGAAAGCTTGGAGGTGCCCAAGTCGTAGATCTTGGTACAAACCAAGCTGAGCTTGAACTCGTGTTTGAGCAACGCGCCAAGTGGCCCACATATATGGGATGCAAAGAGGGCTAGGAAGACCCAGTGGTGAGAGGAATCGCACTGGCGTAGCATGTCCAAAGTCACTGCGAGAATCTTTCAAGCTGTAGATGGTCCTGGTTCGAATCCAGGCTGGGTCATAGTTGGGTTTGCTTATTTTTTCTTGAAAATCACGGAATGATGAACCCAATGGGATGTCAAATGAGGATTAAGAGACCCAGTGGCGGAAGGTATCGCACCGGCGCAACGTGCAGCGTCCGTAGTCGTTTAGCCGGAGATAATCCTGGTTCGAGTCCAGGCTGGGTCGTTAGAAGTACTGAAGAGTCTTTTTTTGAAAACGCACTAACGGGCAGGTAAGTGACCCATATATACGAGATGCAAAGAGGGCTAGGGAAGACCCAGTAGCGTCCCATAGTCGCCAGAAGCTTTCAACCCGGCGGAGATCCTGGTGTCATCAAATCTTCGAATGTTGGCTCTTTTCCTTGAAAATGCGCCAACGCTCAAGTCAATATCATGCAAATCGATGAACTTGAGATCTTGAGAAGGCGCAGTAGCGAGAGGCATTGTGCCGGCAGTACGGTGGGAGGCATTTCAGCCTGGTGAATTTGGTTTGAATCTAGGTGTGACGGAAGCGAGAGGACTCGAGTTCCGGCACAAGGTGGCAAATCGAGAGAACTGGTGTAAGTTGTCGATTAACCGAAGAAACCGTAACTACAACAAGTACACTACTTATATACTACGAATCAAAGGCTGTGCATGGAGTATAAGTCATATGGCATAAACATAATAGGCATAGCATAATATAGCGTGGAGTACGGAGCAACAAAAATAAATATTTCCGTTACACTAGGCTGGGTCATTCATATATTTCCAGCCACACTTGGACTCGTGATGCCAAGTGGCCCACACATACGAATGCAAAGGTGGGTAGGAAAGACCCAGTAGCGTGAGGCATCGCACCGGCGCGGCATTGCACAACCGCTAGAAGCTGTCAAGCCGGAGATCCTAGTTCGACCCAGGGTGGGTCATAAGTAGTCCATCGCACTTTTTTTCTTGTAAACGCGCCAACGCTGCCATACAAATCTAGAATTTTAAGAAGACTCAGTAGCGAGAGGTATCGATCCGGCAGTGTGTAACACTGTGTTGAGAGCTTGGACGTACCCGGCCCTGGTACAAACCAAGCTGGTCATTTATTTACAGCTGAACTTGGACGCATTTTTGAACACCGCGCTAACGTGCAGGTAAGTGATCCACACATGTGAATGCAAAGGTGGGTAGGGAAGACCCAGTAGCGAGAGGAATCGCACCGGCGCAGTGTGCCCGCAGTCAAGAGAAACTTGTGAGCCGGAGACAACCCTGGTTCGAGCCCAGGCTGGGTCATAACTTAGTGCCAAGGCAGTGGTTTTTTTTTTCCAACGCCGGGCCCCGCCTTTAAGAAACGTGGGAAGGGTGCGTTGAGGGCGCATGTGTACATGTATATGTAATGTAAATCGAGCCTCGGAGGGAACAGAAATAATTAGGCTGCGGGAGGTTGTGAGGCATAGGCTCGTGGCGAAATGCTGTCCTTTGAATTACAAACAACGTTACATGTAAAACAAATCTTATATATCACTCGTCCCTCGTAGCGGAATGCCTTGTATGGTCAGTATGGGTTACACATAATACTTACTACAGTCTACCCCTGGTTCGAATCCAGGGCTGGACATAGCGATACCATCAGCGTGTTTTTTCCTCTCGGTGACTGTCCTTCTCCCTGCACGTGTCGCAAACTGACATACTTCCTACCAATACCAATCGAACCTAATCTCAAACAAACGGGCGCGAAAGACCTGTGGGCCTAAAAGAATTCGCGGGGAACAAAGAAGAAGCCGGCCACGTGGCTATGGCTGTGCCCGTGTCAATCTTTTAATTAAGCGAACAACGACGATGCATTCGTTGCTCGGACGTCGTTCGGACTCCCATCCTACCTACCCACCCACATCCGACAGCAACAGGCGAGTCAGAGTCAGACGCGAGTGAGTGGGCTGTACACGGAGCGCTGACATCTGTGGTCCAGGATTATTGTCAGTGGGACAGGACGGACAGGACAGGACAGGATTTTCATCTCGCTAGCCTGAGGTGAGATGGATTCCAGACAGGGATGGATGGGTGGATGTGGATGGCTGATAAGATTGCTGTTAAGTATAGTTCTCAGACTGGGATCAAGATCGTGGAGCGCGTTCGATTCGCTGTTGATCTGCACGGCGGCAGAAGGTGAGGCCATCTCTTGCTGGGTTGTTCTTAGATGGGGATGGGCTACTAAAAATGCACCGTATACGGTATAGACAGTTCCCACCTTCGGTTTCACACTGACTGGCACCGGAATATCTGGCAGCGCGCCAGCGAACATATAACCGCACATTCCGTCCCAAGTTCAAGAAACGCTGAACGTCCTCCCCACCGCGGACTCGAGCTTGGACACCACGCGCGTGCGAACCGCATCATATCACTTGATAACGCTTGAGACCCTCCCCGCGGGCCCGTCGTCATAGCGATCCCGGCACCAAATTAAATTTGCAATCGCCCGTTCTCCATTTTTCACCCCAGGCGTCATTCCTTCCGTCGTCACTCTGCGCCCGCGCGTACTGTAAATACCCCAGCCCCGTTACAGGGGCGCGTTACGGTTTATAGGGGCCGCGCAAGCACGTGTTGGGATCTGCAGTCGAAGTCGATCGCGATGCTGAGGCTGCGCCGCCGCTCGCTCGCTGCGCGCCATCCTCCTCCGTCTCAGCCATCGCCCTCCCCATCCGCGTCCGCGTCCGTTCGGGGATCACCCTCCCGCTCCGCGTCCCTGCCTGTCTCTGCCTCTGCCTCTGCCTCTGCGTCTGCGTCTGCCTCTGTGTCGGCGTCCGGGTCCTCAGCCCTCTCGCCGTCCACGTCCTCCCCCCGCATCCCCGACGAGCCGGACTCCGAATCCCAAGACGAATTCGATGACGGCGAACCAGCAGAGGAAGCGCAAGACGAGTCCGAAACCGAATACCCCCCGCCCCCGCTCGGCCTCACGCGCGCCTCGCTGCCCGCGCGCGCGAGTAGCGGGGAGGGGGCGCTGGCGCTGGGTTTGGGGCGCGTCGGTGGGGGTGGTAGCTCCAATGATAATCCCAGCGCGCGGGGTGGGACGAACGGCGTCGGTACGCCGGAGAAAGGGAAGGGGAAGGGGAAGGACAAAGGCCTCATGCGGCGCGTGTCGTCGCTCTTCCGCACCAGCTCCGCGTCTGCGTCTGCGTCGACGCCGGCGAGGAACGGTACGTCCTTCTCCTTTTTTTTATTGGTGTTTCTTTTCGTTCGCCCACCTTCCCGCCTTCCCGCCTGTCCGCCTTCCGTCCTCCCGCGTCGATTGCGATTGCCATTGCGATTGTGCTACCTTCCCGCCTTCCACTCTCTTCTCCCGTTTCACACCCTCCCTCCCTTTTGCGCACTTGCCTCTGCGCTCATCCCATCCGTCCGCCCCCGTCCTTTTTCCCCGCCTCCGTGCTCCTTCCTTCCTTCCTTCCTTCCCCTCCGCTCTCCATTCTGCCTTATTTCGTTTTTTCGTTCTCGTTCCTCCGTCCTTCCCTTTCCATTCCTCCCTGATTCGGGCACGCTCCCTCTCTCTCGGCGCACTTTCACGCCTCTGCACGCGTATCCCGTCCATCCGCCCCCGCCCCTGCCCTCCGCCCTCCATTCTTCGTTCTTCCATTCTTCCATTCTTCCGTCCTTCCTTCCTTCCTTCCCTTCCATTCATCCATTTTCTCATCCATTCTCTCATTCCCTCTTCCCGCCTCCCCCGCCTCCACCTCGATCGTGCTCCCTTCGCGCTCCCGTTCCACCTCCCTCCCTCCCTCCCTTTTTCTGTGCAATTTCGCTGCATGCCCCCCACCCCCGCGCGCGACGTCCTTCCTTTCGTCCTGCCCGCTATACGTCCACCTTCCTGCCTCCTGCTTCCCGCTCCCGCTCGCGCCTCCCTTCATCTGTTCTGGATGTCGGTAAGGCGCCTCGATGCGCAGGAGGACGCGTTGAATGGCTTGTCGGCGGGGCACATTCACGAATCCGGCGATCCGGAGGATATAGAGTTGGAAGAAGAGTAGACTAACTTGGTACGAGTTTCCTTACAGGGGCCGAAGAGCATCCGGGTTTATTTTATTTTATTCTATTTCATCTGCTATGCTCAAGTTGATGAGCAGGGGAGGCGAGAGGAGGGGTCTGTCGCCCATGGTCTCTACTTGTTTCGCCGTATGGTTCCGGTGGAGTGAAAATCGAAGGAAAAGGGAGGAGATTATAATGTTCAGGCAGACGCGGTGCAAGTGAGTTACTTGGCCGCGTAACGGAGCAAACTCTTGAACCAGTAATAGCGACGAGGCCATCGTCAAGAACGTGCATGGCCATCGTTCGGGAATGTACAGTGGTATTTTGTGAGCGCATCGACGGGCTTGCCAACACGTCGCGTCCACGATGTTACTTCACCAGTTGCTTATAAAATCAGCATTTTGTGTTCGAGAAATGCTGATGTATGCATGCGCATCAGCTCACACGCATCCACTCAAATGGCCCTCAGGTAGAGATCCAAAGTATTTGCAGAACAAAGCGAAGTCTATGCCGGTCCGGATGCACATTTATTCCCGCCCCGCAAATATTTGACCCCGCCCCGCAAACTTGCCTTTTTGGTCGCCCCGCGCGCGATTTTGCCAGTTTGATCCCGTCAACAAGTTTTGCGCGGACGGCATGTTCCGCCCCGCGCGCGCGAAAATCCAAGCTTCCGCGCGCGCGCAAAATTTTCTTCAATCACCCCCGCAGAAAAATTCACTTGATGAGCAAAGGTTTGAGACTCGATTTAGGATAAGTATTTATGCAAAGGTATGAATGGGATCCGTAGGACGATGATTAAGAGAGTGTGACTGGTATCAGAGTACTTAGGAATGCCCACTGTTGCTGTCTTTACAGGTATGATGGGGGCCGTCAACGGCAGGCCATCCCGTCTCGTCTAGGGTTCGCTTGGATAAATCAACGGGATGGGTACGGGATGGCATTGCTGTCCATCCCGTTGACTCCGGTCGTCGACGTATTCGTGTTCTTTCGTGCGGATTGAGGGCCAAAAATGAAAGAGAACGCAAGAATAAGTTCACAC